AAAGAAATTTACAAGGAATGTTGCCAGGACTCAAGGGACTGAGTTATAGGGAGAGGTTGGAGAAGCTAGGACTTCTTTCTTTAGAGCATAGGAGACTGAGGGGGCAGGGGTCTTATAGAAAGATCATGAGAGGCATAAATAGGGTGAATGCACAGTTTTTTTCCCCCAGAGTTGGGGAATCAAGGACAAGAGGGCATCAGTTAAAGGTAAGAGAGGAAAGAATAAATGGGAACCTGAAGGGCAACTTTTTTACACAGAGGGTGATATGCATATGGAATGAGCTGCCAGCAGAAGTGGTTGATGCGAGTACATTATCAAAATTTAACAGACCTTCGGATGAATGCATGGACAGGAAAAGTTTAGAAGGATATGGGCCAACTGTAGGGAAATGGGAGAGATAGTAGGAACTGCAGATGCTGGAGAATCCGAGACAACAAGGTGCAGGGCTGGATGAACACAGCAGGCCAAGCAGCATCATAGGAGCAGAGAGGCTGACGTTTCGGGCCTAGACCCTTCATCAGAAAAGGGGGAGGGGAAGGGGGTTTTGAAATAAATAGGGAGAGAGTGGGAGGCGGATAGAAGAGGGATAGAGGAGAGGATAGGTGGAGAGGAAACAAACAGGTCGAAGAGGCGGGGATGGGGCCAGGAAAGGTGAGTGTAGGTAGGGAGTTAGGAAGGGGATAGGTCAGTCCAGGGAGGACGGACAGGTCAAGGGGGCGGGATGAGGTTGGTCGGTAGGAGATGGAGGTGCGGCTTGAGGTGGGAGGAGGGGATAGGTGGGAGGAAGAACAGGTTAGGGACGAGCTGGACTGGTTTTGGGATGCGGTAGGGGGAGGGGAGATTTTGAAACTTGTGAAATCCACATTGATACCATTGGGCTGCAGGGTTCCCAAGCGGAATATGAGTTGCTGTTCCTGCAACCTTCGGGTGGCATCGTTGTGGCACTGCAGGAGGCCCAGGATGGACATGTCGTCTGAGGAATGGGAGGGGGAGTTGAAATGGTTCGCGACTGGGAGGTGCAGTTGTTTATTGCGAACCGAGCGTAGGTGTTCTGCAAAGCGGTCCCCGAGTCTCCGCTTGGTTTCCCCGATGTAGAGGAAGCCACACCGGGTACAGCGGATGCAGTATACCACATTGGCAGATGTGCAGGTGAACATCTGCTTGATGTGGAAAGTCTTCTTGGGGCCTGGGATGGGGGTGAGGGAGGAGGTATGGGGGCAGGTGTAGCACTTCCTGCACCTGAGGTGATGAGGTTGTGGATGGTTTGCGAGATGATGGTTTGGTGCTCAGGGGTGGGGTCATGATCAAGGGGGCGGTAGGAGGAGGTGTCGGAGAGTTGGCGTCCGGCCTCGGCGATGTAGAGTACCTGAGGTGATGTCCCGCTTCTGCCCGCTTCTATCTCCTTCCCAAAATCCACAAACCTGAATGCCCTGGTCGACCCATTGTCTCCGCCTGCTCCTGCCCCACCGAACTGATCTCCAACTATCTGGACTCCATTTTCTCCCCCTTGGTCCAGGAACTCCCTACCTATGTCTGTGACACCACCCACGCCCTCCACCTCCTCCAGAACTTCCAATTCCCCGGTCCCCAACACCTCATCTTTACCATGGACGTCCAGTCCCTCTACACCTGCATTCCCCATGCAGATGGCCTTAAGGCCCTCCGCTTCTTCCTGTCCGGCAGGCCCGACCAGTCCCCCTCCACTGATACCCTCATCCGCTTAGCCGAACTCGTCCTCACACTCAACAACTTCTCTTTCAATTCCTCCCACTTCCTACAGACAAAGGGGGTAGCCATGGGTACCCGCATGGGCCCAAGCTACGCCTGCCTCTTTGTAGGTTACGTGGAACAGTCCCTCTTCCGTACCTACACCGGCCCTAAACCCCACCTCTTCCTCCGCTACATTGATGACTGTATCGGCGCCGCCTCGTGCTCCCACGAGGAGCTCGAACAGTTCATACACTTCACTAACACCTTCCACCCCAACCTTAAGTTTACCTGGACCATCTCTAACACCTCTCTCCCCTTCCTGGACCTCTCTGTCTCCATATCGGGCAACCACCTAGAAACCGATATTCATTTCAAGCCCACCGACTCCCACAGCTACCTAGAATACTCCTCCTCCCACCCACCTTCTTGCAAAAATGCTATCCCCTATTCCCAATTCCTTCGCCTCCGCCGCGTCTGCTCCCAGGATGAGGCATTCCACTCCCGCACATCTAGGTTGTCCTCGTTTTTCAAGGACCGTAACTTCCCCTCCTCGGTGGTCGAGAACGCCCTCAACCGTGTCTCCCACATCTCCCGCACCTCATCCCTCACACCCCGTCCACGCAATAAGAACCAAAAAAGAATCCCCCTCGTCCTCACGTACCACCCCACCAACCTCCGGATCCAACGCATCATCCTCCGACACTTCCGCCATCTGCAATCTGACCCCACCACCAAAGACATCTTTCCCTCCCCACCCTTATCTGCTTTCCGGAGGGACAACTCTCTCCGTGACTCCCTTGTCCGCTCCACAGTCCCCTCCAGCTCCACCACACCCGGCACTTTTCCCTGCAACCGCAGGAAGTGCTACACCTGCCCCCATACCTCCTCCCTCACCCCCATCCCAGGCCCCAAGAAGACTTTCCACATCAAGCAGATGTTCACCTGCACATCTGCCAATGTGGTATACTGCATCCGCTGTACCCGGTGTGGCTTCCTCTACATCGGGGAAACCAAGCGGAGACTCGGGGACCGCTTTGCAGAACACCTACGCTCGGTTCGCAACAAACAACTGCACCTCCCAGTCGCGAACCATTTCAACTCCCCCTCCCATTCCTCAGACGACATGTCCATCCTGGGCCTCCTGCAGTGCCACAACGATGCCACCCGAAGGTTGCAGGAACAGCAACTCATATTCCGCTTGGGAACCCTGCAGCCCAATGGTATCAATGTGGATTTCACAAGTTTCAAAATCTCCCCTCCCCCTACCGCATCCCAAAACCAGTCCAGCTCGTCCCTGCCTCCCTAACCTGTTCTTCCTCCCACCTATCCCCTCCTCCCACCTCAAGCCGCACCTCCATCTCCTACCGACCAACCTCATCCCGCCCCCTTGACCTGTCCGTCCTCCCTGGACTGACCTATCCCCTTCCTAACTCCCTACCTACACTCACCTTTACTGGCTCCATCCCCGCCTCTTCGACCTGTTTGTTTCCTCTCCACCTATCCTCTCCTCTATCCCTCTTCTATCCGCCTCCCACTCTCTCCCTATTTATTTCAAAACCCCCTTCCCCTCCCCCTTTTCTGATGAAGGGTCTAGGCCCGAAACGTCAGCCTCTCTGCTCCTATGATGCTGCTTGGCCTGCTGTGTTCATCCTGGCCTGCACCTTGTGTAGGGAAATGGAGTTAGCGTGGATGAACATTTTGGTCCAGCATGGCCAAGTTTGGGCCGAAGGGCTGTAGGACTCTATGACTCTATAATTGGGCACCTCATGTCATTGATAAGATTTCGAGTTTGATTTGATTTGATTTATCATTGTCACATGTAACAAGATACAGTGAAAAGTATTGTTTTGCTAACCAGACAAATCATAGTTTGCATAATAGCGTAATAGAACAGAATGTAGAATATAGTGTTACACCTACAGAAAAGATGCAGAGAAAGATCAATTCTAATGTGAGAGATCTGTTCATAAGGCTGATAACACCGGGGAAGAAGCTGTTCTTGAATCTGTTGGTACGTGTTTTGAAACTATTTTATCTTCTCCCTGGTGGAAGAGAGAATTACGGGGGTGGGAGGAATCTTTGATTATGTTGGCTGCTTTCCCGTGGCAGCGGAAAGTGTAGACACAGTCAATGGAAAGAAGGCTGGTTTGTGTGATGGACTGGACTTCATTCACAACTCTCTGTAATTTACTCCTAGGTCTAACAAACATCTTATATAAATTGCTTCTTGCTTTTGTACTCTATGCCCCTGTTAATAAAACTGAGGACACTATGCTTTTTGAACTGTTTTCTCCATCTGTCCTACCATCTGCAATCCACATATACATCCATGTCTCTGTGTCCCTGCATTGTCTTCAGCGTTGTAACCCCTGTTTTATATTGTCGTTCAATGTGCTTCAAACCAAAATGCATCAGCTCACACTTCTCTGCATTGAATGATCATCTGTCACTTATCTGAAGTCAGCTCAGCTCTAATTGATTTTGATTACTCTGAATTGTTCCATGACATTCTCCACCACCATCCTGAACCTTATAATACAGTTATCACAGTTTCCCCACTGACACTTGATCCACTTGGCCTACCTCATTTGCAAAGACCAGGTCCAACAATGCATCCTACCTTGTGGGACTGGACACGTACTGCTATAGGAAACTCCTCAACACAATCTAGGAACTCTTGCCCCTTGCTGCCCCTCACACAGCCAGTATCCCAGTCTACATTTGAATAATTAAAATATCCCATTAATAATAACTCTATAATGTTGGCATTTCTCTGTAATTTCCCTGCAGATTTATTCCTCTGCATCCTTTCCACTGGTTACTGGTCTACAGCCTAACTGCACTATATAATTCTATCCTTTTTATTTCTTAGCTCAAGCCAAATTGACTCTGTCCTTGAACCCTCTGAGACATCTTCATTTTACTTTGTTAAAGGTGCTAAGTTATATCTGTTTATTCCCAGCTAATCACCTGCTTTTTTTTAAACAGAATTGTTTCCATCACTAATCAGGCAGACAACGTTTGATCAATTGAGGGAAGGATGAGAACTATTATATATGTAATATAAGTCCTGCTAAATAGAAAATCAACACAAGGTTTAGTTCTCCTATTCATGTATATTTGATATCAAGAAGCTACTCAGTCTTATGTCTCTGTGTATGAGTTAGCAAGGCCACCAAGTTATAATGCAACTAACCACAATAGCTGCCTGTTCCTAATAACAGTTATTTAATAAATTGCTTTGAAGTCGATAACATTGTTACTTCTTATCAAGAATATCTTTTCTTTAGATTCGATGTTAATTTTCAGAAGGGCGACCATCCTGATGCAGACATTTTATTTCATTTCAATCCCCGTTTTAAAGAGGACCTTGAGAAAGTGATATTTAATTCTCGGGGACCAGACGGTTGGGGATTTCAGGGTGAGAAGTATGAAAAGATTTCTTCCAGAAATGCTCCATTTAAGCTGGTGTTCATGGTGTGGAACAACTCTTTCCAGGTACTGTTTTACCAATCTTCTCTATAAGGAGAATACCAACTGACACAATTGAAAATGACACGGGATTACACAGTAGACTACCAATGTATAACATTTAGAATTCTGAGATATGGGTTGATGCCAACTATCTCTTACATCTCAGATTATTTCAGAATATGGAGATCCTAGGTAGAGTCCTGGTGTTTGCCCAAAGGGTGATTGCTTTCTCAGGGCATGTCTGGCACAATAATGTTGTTCTAGTACTTTTCAGTAACATACATGCAAACATACGCTCAAAGCTAATAATCTCTGGATTACTGCTGGTGCCACATGTTAGTGACAGTAGGAATAGGAGGATAGGGCAGCTGAATGCGTGGCTGAGGAGCTGGTGCAGTGGGGAGGGATTCAGATTTTTGGATCACCGGGATCTCTTCTGGGGCAGTAGTGACCTGTACAAGAGAGATAGATTGCACCTGAACTGGAGGGAGACCCTAAACAATAGTCAAACAAAAGAGGTTGAGGCTAGTATAGAAGTTGAACAGGGCAGGCAAGGGAACAGCAGGGAATGAGGGAAGATTGATGTATTAAACTGCATTTATTTCAATGCAAGAGGCTAACAAGTAAGACAGATGAACTCAGGGCATGGATGGGTATATGAGACTGGAGTATCATAGCTATTACAGAAACATGGCTGATGGAGGGAGGGAGGGAGGGACAGGGCTGGCAGCTGTGTTCCGGAGTACAGATTCTACAGGATAGATAGAAGGGGTATGGTGTTTTTGATTATGGAAAACATCATGGCAGTACTTAGAGAAGATATTCCCAAGGAATTATCCAGTGAGGCTATATGGGTGGAACTGAGAAATAAGAAGGGTGTGATCACTTTGATGGGATTATATTATAGGTGGCTGATAGTCAGTGGGAAATTGAGGACCAAATACGTTGGGAGATTGCAGATACCTGTAAGAATAATAGGGTTGCAATAGAAGGAAGTTTTAATTTTTCAGATATAGACTGGGACTGCCGTAGTGTTAAGGGCTTGGATGGTGAGGAATTGTTAAGTGTGTTCAGAAAAAAAATTCCCAATCAATATGTAGATGGCTGAATTAGAGAAGGAGCAAAACTTGACCTCCTCTTCAGAATTAAGGCAGAGCAAGTGACAGAGGTGTAGGTGGGGGAGCACTTTTTAATAGTTTTAATAGTCATGGAAAAGGATAGATCTGTTCTACAAGTTAAAGTTCTGAATTAGCGCAAGGCCAATTTTTGATGGTAGTAGACAGGAGCTTTCAAAATCGATTGGGGAAGGCTGTTCGCAGGTAAAAGGATATGACAGGTGGGAGGCCTTCAAAACTGAGATAATGAGAGTTCTGAATCTGCATGTTCCTGTTAGAGTAAAGGACAAGGCTGCCAGGAGTAGAGAACACTGGATGACGAGAGTTTTGAGGCTCTGTTCAAGAAAAAGGAGGCTTTTGTCAGATATAGGCAGCTAGGATCAAGGGAATCCATTGAGGAGTATAGTGGGTGTAGGAGTACATGTAAGAGGGAATTCGGGAGGGCCAAAAGGGAACGTGAGATAGCTTTAGCAGATAATGCAAAGGAGAATCGAGTGATAGTGTACAAGTATATCAAGGGCAAAAGAGTAATTAGGGAGAGATTAGGGCCCCTTAAAGATCAATGAGGTATTCTACTTAAGAAGCCATAGGAAATGAGTATTTCTCATCAGTTTTTACTGTGGCGGAAAACCTGGAAGCTAGAGAACTTGAGGAAGAAAATTGTGATGACTTGAAATGAGTCCACGTTACAGAAGAGGAGGAGCTGGAGATCTTAAAATGCATAAAGGTAGATAAATCCCCGAGACATGATCAAGTACATCCCAGACGTTGTTGGAAGCTAGGGACGAAGTTGCGTGTCCTCTAGTGGGGCCACTGTCGTATCACAGTTCTTCTTAACCTCCCTATTCTATACCCCTATTTATGAAGCTTAGAATACTGTATGTTTTATTAACAGCTCTCCCTAACTGTCTCGACACCTTTAATGACTTGTGCACATGCACACTGCTCCTCTGTACCTGTTATTTTATGCTATCTCTCCCTGTTCTTTGTACCAAAGTGCATGACCTCACACATTTCTGCATTGAACTTCGACTGCATCCTACTCCTCCACCAATTTGTTTATATTCTTTTGGAGTTCCACCCTGTCCTCATCACAATTTACAATTCTCCCAAGTTTTGTGTCATCCACAAGCTTTAAAATTGTTCCCTGCAAACCAAGGTCTATATCATTAATATATCAACAAAAGAGAGACCCAATACTGACTGCTTTGGAAATCCACTACAAACTTTCTTCCAGCCCATAAAATATTCATTAACCAATTTTTTTTGTTTCCCATCTGTTGGCCAATTTTGTATCCATGTTGCCATCTTCCACGATTTTTGTCACAAGTCTGTTGTATGGCACTCTTCTATTACCTATTCAAAAACCTCCAGCACGTTAGACAGGACTGCAGTTGCATTGGAATCCTTCCTGACTTGGGACACAGACTTAGAATATGGTGTGGCCATCTGTGACTGGGACATTTTCAGTAAGATGGTGGTAAACCTTTGGAATTCTCTATCCCAGTGGCTGTGAAGCTTGATCATTGAGCACATTCAAGATTGAAATTGGTAGGTTTCTGGATATTAATGACACGAAGAGATATTCTGATATCTTGAAAGATGGTGTAGAGGTAAATGGTCTTGCATCATCTGTTTGAATGGCAGAGAAGGCTCAATGAACTGAATGACCAACTTCTCTTATTTTCTATTTTTCTATTAAGTTATATCATTAGTGGCAATTTGTTGTACATTTTTACTTACTATAATGTTTTAGATGCACTGTTTGTAGGCTTTTGTCTTGAAATTAATGTATCATTTATGAATTATTTATTCAGGTATCTGTCAATGGTAGACATATCCTTGACTATCCACACCGTTTAGAAGATTGGAAGCCAGATACTGTTATAGTATTTGGCGATATACAAGTGGAAAGTATTGATGTTCTCAAACTTTGAGGCTTAAAAAAAAGGTAAATATAATTTGTAATGTAATCCCATGAGTATTAAATTACATTTATGAAGGTGGGTTTATGGGATGTGTGGATTACAGAATCAGTCCTGGCGGTTTACTTTATGACCATTGAAGCTGAGTACATATAAAAGTGATGATATGATTGGATACTCTCTGCAAACCATTGATTCACAGAGTATTCCATTTGTGTAGTCTTTTAATTGCTGCTGTCAGTTGGTGTAGTTTGTGAGAGGCATCGTGTGTACATTGATAATTAGTCACCTTTACAAAGTTGACCCTTACGTTTGAGGGAAGGGTTAGGACTTATTCCAAGGAGGACTTCAGCTACCTAGATTTGGTGGCGTTCATGCAATCTGACCCAAAGTTGCTTGAGTAGAAATTTAACTTTTGCCAGTAGTGTAAAACAGGTGATAACAGAGTTGCTGCCCCTAACATACCTTTCCTGAAATTTGGAATTGTAGGTGAGGAGGGGTTGTCTGATGGATCACAGATCCAATATTGCACATTTGAACACCGTTGAATAAACTTAAAATGATCCCCATCTCCCAGTTTCAACCTATTTTTACGGGTTTGGACAAAACATTGTCCATGAAATGAGCTTTCCAAATGTACAGCTCAGCTATAAAGAACTGAATTGTGCCCCACAGCTGAACTAATGTCTGCTTTGGGTAGTTAGGCCACTTGGGAACTGTAAAACCAACATTTCCAAAATGATGTTGCTTCTGCCCAGACTTGTGCCATGAGCATTTTTGCAGAAGTGGTGAAAGTCTGCTCCCCACTGGCAAAATGAGGGACTTCACATAGAAAAATGCTCACACTAAACCAAAAGTTGATACTCCTAGAACCAACTTGAATTCAAATCACTGGACTACACTTCATATCTTTTGTAATGAAATATTTGTAATTAAATACATGTTGGGAACTTTTTGTCAAGGTATGTATTATGTCACAATTTTGAAAAGTAATGTCTAACTTTCGTAGATGCCTCCAGCTATCATATTCTGTACCTGTTTATTCCATGAGTATGAATCTCCAACATGTGTATTCAATTTATTGTACTACTATTAACCTCTGCATTTATATCCAAGTACTGTACTGGAATTAAACACTTCATTTATAATTAATTAACTTCTAATTTATTATATTGGAGTTGAACTGCATTTATATCTAATTTATTATACTTCAATTAAACACTTCATTTATAATTAATTAGTTTAAAATTTAATATGCTGCAGTTAAACTCTTCATTGATAATGAGTTAATTTATAATTTATTATGCTGAAATTAAGCACTGCATTTGCATTCAATTTATTCTACCACCATTAATGTTATGCCACATACACCCAACCTACGGCGGTGCCATTGACTTCTGTATTTATACTCAATTTATTACACTGCTGTTAAACTCTGCAAGTTGTCAGTTCCTGTGTCCCAATGTGGTGGTGTAAGTGTGGCAGGGAGCACCACATTTACCGAAAGAGGTACACTTGCCAAGTTGACACCATCAAGTCAGAGCTACCTATCTGAGTCGTACTCTATTTACCACCTTAAAATTTACACGCTCTGCCACCAACAAATAATGACAGCAGTGTGGCTACACTGTGTACTGCAGCAACTCACCGAGACACTTTCAACAGCACGCTAAGTTGCTAGAGTGGAAATTTAATTTTTGCCAGTAGCGTAAAACAGGTGACAACAGAGTTGCTGCCCCTTATGTACCTCTCCTGACATTTGGAATGGTAGACAAGGTGGGGTATTTGATGGACGGCAGATCAAAATCGCACATTTGTA